TATATATATATATATATATACTTGTTCAATAACTATGTCTCTTTTTCTATAATTCCTTTCATACGAGAAGGAATAATGTCATTCAAACAATGTAAACTTTAAAATATAAACCTTCTCTGTATATCTGAATTATATATAAATGTAAATATACTTATATGGTTAATATTTTTAATAGAAAACATTTATGGGTTAGAATAATATACGGCATTTGTAATAAAAATAGTATTTAAATATATTAATATCTATAAATATTTATATATATATATATATATATATTGTACTATTTTAGATAATTTTTTATATGTCTCTACTGAGAGACCTTAACTAAGATCTTTGACCACATTTAGGATAATTTTCGAGATGATTACTGGTCAAGCGTTACAATTGTCACTTAATTCCTTTCGCCTTCTAGGCTTAGAACTAGAGGGCAAGTGTATCATCCTAGATAAATTTTGAGATGCTTAGTCAAGATCGTTTGCCAAATACACTGAAAGTTGAGCCGAGAAGAGATACTAAGGATTGGGAGGAGGCCGACTTCCTAAGGCAAATTGCTCCTCTAAAAAAGTATTGGAATAAATTCGCTATAAAGGGTCATGTATGAAATAAAATCTTATCTCTATCAATCAAATATTGCAGTACTAAGTTACCTTATAAAATCTCATCAAACCCTAAACTTAATAAAGATAGATTATATTCTTGAATGTTTTGATTTTGAGAGTTCACAAAAACAAACCTTAATTATACTCTAGACGAAACAACTTTGTAAATATATTTATGTGCATATATATATATATATATGATTTAATTAAAAAATATATTGATATTGTAAAAGTATTTCAATTAACTTAGTTACATGTTTATTCCTCGTATATTTTAATTATGCATTTTTTTATTTCCACATTCTAAAAAATACACGAATTAGGTATTCATTAAATATTCAATAAAAATTTTCTGACGTTTTAATAATGTGACAATTAATATGTTGTCTATCTTAACATGACTTTTATATATATATATATATATATATATATATATATATATTAATTTTTCTAGTATCACAACCTTGATAGACCAAAATTGCAAGTAAGTGACATCGATATAGCAATACTTTAGCTTAACACCATCGGTTAGTGTCACATTAAGAATTGTAAAATATTTAATGAAAGATTAATAAAAAAAAATACAAAATTGCACAATTTTAGTATTCAGTGTTCTCAACTTGAACAATTGAAAATCAAATAATTAAAATTATACAATTTTAATAGTTAAGAGACTACAAATTTAATTAACTCATGTTTTTCTTACGGTGTCATTCAATTATAAATTATCATATATGATATATTGTTTATCCTTTTAATAATTATGTCAAAATTCATATTTAGGATGGTTTTAATTTGTTAATGATGTAAAAATATATACATTGGAAGTGTATAAAAATTAAACCTTCTATAATTCCTTTCATACGAGAAGGAATAATGTCATTCAAACAATGTAAACTTTAAAATATAAACTTACATGTTTAATTATATAACAATGTCTACAACGATTAAGCGTTTATTTGTATATATTTTTCTATAATACTCGAGAAGAAAATAAAAAGTAAAAATAAAATAAAATAATTTATAAACAAGAATTAACTTGATGTATAAATTAAAAAAATTGGAAAAATTAATATGACATAACTTTTATAAAATAATTTATACATAATTATTTTAACTGTCAAAATAATTATTTCATTTTTCTCTTAAGTGCTTTAACCCTAAATGGATAAGAGCACCTAAATTATAAAACAGAAGAATTGATATCCACGTGTAACTTGGACTATAAATTCCTCAACTTAAAAAAAGCTTAAATAACTTTTTACTCCTCCTAAAGTAGGAAAATTTTGTTTAGTCCATTTATTATTATTTTTTATTTCATTTTGTCCTTGTTATTTTATTTTAGTTCTTGTAATACATGAATAATTTTATTTTAATCCCTACTAATTTTTTTAAAGGAACTAACTAAAAATAAATAAAATATTGTAAGTCTAAAATAAAAAATAAATACATTACAAGGACTAAAATAAAATAACAAGGACAAAAATGGAACAGAATAATTTTATAGAAGCGAAAATGAATAAAAAGACTAAAAATAAAAACATCTTATTTTACAGGACTAAAAAAGTTATTTAAAGGAGAAAAAAAAAAGTTATTCAACCCATAATTTACATAGTAATATTTTTTCTTAGTTAAAATAACTTTTTAATTCTATAATTTTACTTTACCTTTTATTCTTGTAATTTAAAATAAATATTTTTTTTTATCTATATTAATATTTTTTTAGTCCTTATATTTTTTTTTTCAAAGTTGTATCTTTTATATTGACATGATAAATGTTTTTAATCTTATGAAGATGAAGAAAAAAAATGTATCTTAATTATAAGTGTCATGTGGATAAAAAAAATGAGATGTCGAGAAACTTAATTTAAAATAATATCAATAAAATAATTTTAAAATCAAATATTTAAAGTTGAATTAATACATTTATTACATCAATACAAAATAGAATGTCAAAAAAAAATATTAACAAAGACTAAAAACATTAAAAAATTACTAGTATATGAATTAAAAAGATTTATTTTAAACTAAATAGACTAAAAAATATTAAAAAAGATAAATATACAAAACTAAAAATATATATTAAATATTATAGAGACTAAAATAATAAATAAATAAATAAATTTTAACATTTTTTCTTTTATCTCTCTTCATCACACCAGTTATCTGTTTCCAACATTATTTTCC